GACGTCGACGTCAGCTTCCGGCGGCACCAGACAATGACTGATGACAAGGTTACGACCGCCACCACCGAGGCAAGCTCCAAACAGTGCTGCACTATCTGGAACATCACACTAAGCAGGAATAAATGGTCTATAGGCGATGAACCAGAGGCATGCCCGGGAAACTTATATCATGCTTGGCCCGAGCTAGATGCAAGCATTGTGATGATTTTCGAATGCATGGTTCACCTACGTTACACGTCAGAGAACCACACGTCGCAAGAACGTGCGGCGGAAGCGAAGAAATGCGTAGCGACTCAAAACACAAATACAAATTTTGAAGTTGTATGCAATGCAAAGCACTTTTAGGAGAACATCCACTCCTATGTGGACCAGCCCAGCCAAGGAGATCATGTAACGAAGGGAACACGGCTCGACGGCCGTTCCAGAGTGCGAGCACTCCCGGATTCACCACTGCGGTCCACGAGCTGCTGATCCACTAGCCACGTGTTATGCTGCAGCCCATGTCCTCTGGTTACGATGTTTCAGCCCATGACCTCTGGTTACGATGTTTCGGCCCATAACCTCTGGTTACGACGTCCTTTCAACCATAATTGAGTCACACAACACTCAGAACAAGGGAAGTCTCCGCTTCCCTTGAAGCCGGTTGGGGACGCCAACTGGCCAGGAATCTACCCGCTGCGGGAGCTCGGCGGCGACGGGGGCGCCTGGCTGCCACTGCGCTGTCCATCGGGAGCAATGGCTCTCACTTGAGAGAGCGCAGGCGCGTCCCCGGACAGCAGAGCCGCTGATGGCGGCCACGGACCCAGCGGACTCCACATTTGTATGAGGCTTTAAACTGAGATAGCTTTCTTGAATCATTCGGTGCAGATCAGAGCGCTGCCCATCTTAAGACCCTGGAGTTTCCAGCTTCTAGTCTTTCGCCTAATTTCTGAGCTATGCACTCGCGAAGACGCGCGACTTTTTCGGGAAGGCTATTTTAAGGATATCCAGGCATCCATGACGTCAGAAAAACATAATCAAAGTGTTGCCATTTCACTGGCCATGTGGCGGTTCACTGGCACAACAATTATTGTCTTTCATGTCTGGCGCCCGTGAGCACCATTTGCCGACATAATGACCGTCTATTTACACTTAATCGATGTGCAATCTATGCATCACTTTAACGCTGCTTGCAACTAGTTTCATAAACAGATAATGTCGTTGAATTGAGGCGTAGGGTGTACCTTTCTGGGGTTTTACCTCTAATCTGGCTGCAGGAAGTAAATAGCAACTATTTACGTCAACGCCCGTAAAAGTATGATATTTACGGAGCATTTCAACTAGTCTGAGTTAATCTATACTTCACCAGGTATCCATCAGATTACATAAGCGCAGCTGACTTGACCGTGGAGTAGACATTCACCCCGGAACTGAAATAGATTAAAAATATGCTCTGGTCTGTCCTAAGATCATCATTAGTAATCATAAAGGAGCCGGCGCATGGCCGTGCAAGAGCGAAGGATTAGGCCATTTAGACCGAGGATCAGCCTGCAGTGAGACATTGCTGAGACGTGAAGCGATGCCAACATCACACGGGCGGTTGAGTTTGCATATATGAGAAACTCAATGCAACTGTAGTTCGTACAGATTTCTGGGCATCGCAAACATAAGAACTGTGGTCGAAAAAGCTGGCAGACCGTTATAAAAATCAATCTCTCTCCCACATGACGCGCATTTCACTGGATCATTTTTTCACTACTGTGACATGAATACACATTTTGTGTTAACAAGACACACAACATAGAGTAGGCGTAAAGTCAGCTATTTTAAGAAGATTTTGTCGTTGTTGTGCATAGTTTCTAGATACGTAGCACAAGAAAGCTCAGGGTATGGATGTACGAAACACGAGTACATTTTGTTTTACTTCTTCGTATAGTGAAACAATACCAATAATTGTACACTTTCTGCATTCCAGCGAATTACAAAAGTGATCGTGATTATTCTTTGATGTAATTGTCACACAAATCACGAATGCATCATCGAGTTAATCCATAAATGACCAGATTTTTTAAGTCACCTTTAAGATATTCCTGGATTTTTAATCAGCATGCTAGCCTTTTGGGGCCAAAGCAATAGCAAGGTTGCCATGGGAACGACCGTTTGTATCGCTATTGAAATTGCTTCACTTCGGTATTTTACGATTAATTTCCAAGGAGCCATGCCAAGTTAATCACGCCGGCGAAAGAAATAGGGAGTTACGTCGAAAATACTTCGACTAGCAGGGAGTAAGTAGGAACTTCTCTTTATGAAACCGGATGTTGATTATCGGTCATATAAACTAAAGCCCTTTCGACCATCAATGATCATTTAAAGGCTATGGGATGAAGATGGACAACGGTGAGGCAAGTCTACACGCGCCTGGGGGGCTAAACGCCGAGAGTTAACCCGCGCAAGGGACCGCTCTGCAGGGTATGCGTCGTGCACCCGGTCGGGGTTCCTCTCCAGGTTGCCTCTCGGCCCACCCGTTCTGGCTTCACTTCGCTTTCATTATCATCCTTATTTCTCTCCTTATGTCTTACAAAACACTTTTCCGCGAGATGGCGTGGCGTGCGGTGTATCTATCCTCCGCGGGCCACGTGCTGCGTTTTCCAACGCGCGAGTAGGTTCTCAATTTGCTGCCATGAGATCAGCAGCCTAACAGCCTGTAACATGACCGCGGTCGCATAAAGTTTCTATGACGTCATTACTGCCGAGACAACTTTGACATAAGCTCCAAATATACCTTTCGTACTTTTGCGGGCGTGTAACTCAGAAACCAGATCGCTTGGGTCTTAAAAAGGACATGACCTTAAACTGCATCAAAAGGTCCTCAAAATAGCTATTTCAGTTCAAAACGTCCTACAAATGTGGAACATTCTCTTGGGCCGCACTGTACCATTTGACGTCACTCGTCGGCTGAGGCGGGCGAAATCGGCTCCGGTAGTCCGTATCCGGCAGTATCCGAATCATCATGTGAAGGGTTGCGAGGAAGTGGGACAGTGTCCCAACCCGTGGATCTCACGCACGCTGACTTCATTGACACTGGGCCTTATGACCAGTGCTCTGTATTAACTCTGCACCTTTCAATACGCATCCGATATAAGGCCAGGGCAATCAACACTGTAATGCCTCTATACAGCATAATGAGCCCCAAAATTCCCCAAGCGGGACTTCCTTGACCAGTTGAGAATTAACTTCGTTTGCTTGTGAATTCTTTGCTATTACGAACAATTGTTCTTGGTCGTCTAGGCTCAAAGGCGTCCAATTTGATGTGTTTTTGTTGTTAGAAAACTGCATCCGCTCGGTCGGTTATGGATTCCTTCGGAGCCTTTAGGTTCCCTGGACATGTTTCATGGGGGTATGGTCCCGTGCCTCAAGATTTGGCCAAATTTGACGCGGCGGCCCCGCGCCGGTCGGAAACTATTCCGGAAAAATCTTCGGGGGGGGGGGGTCAACGTGACTCCCACCCCAGCGCGTGTTAAGTCACAGCTCGGTCTCCGGCGTTGGCAGCGCTGTCCAGCCTGTAGAGGTCGTTGATGGTGTGGTTGCTTGAGCTTGGGCCGTGGCAATGGTTTTGGAAGCTGGGGACTGAAGCTCCCCACCCAAATCAGAGCCCAAAAGCGAGACGGCCCATTGGTCGTCTCCTTTACCACAGAATGGATTACTTACAACGCTGATGCGCATCCCTTTTCTTGACGTAGCACAGGCGCTGTAACGGAGACCTCGTTTGCGTAAATATTGCATGCGTTACCTTCTACAATCACCATCCAATTCACATCTTAGTCTCCAAATAGCGTGACGGTGTGCTAAGCCGGGGTTTAGTTTGAACTTTATATCAATACTCGAATCACTCGTCAAGCCTCGTTCACTGGTCGCGCCGCGGCTCTGTAAACAACACGTAGCCGTACCTTGGACTGTGATAACATCACAGAATATGATGCCGTTGAAAATGTTTAATACACATGGCCGTGCACCCTGTGAAGCAGTCTGAGTTCTTTCACGGCCCATTTAAACCTATGACGTAGGTGAAGCCTTGCGGCTCAGGACTACTCACCTTCGCTGTGATTGGGCCGTGTGCCTCCAGACGAGCCACAAGATGGTCTATATCCCCTTCGTTCACCAGCTGTACGTCCTGTTTGTTCATGGTCGGACCGAGCATGAGCCCTCACCGCCCCTGGCGCGCCGATAAAGCCGACTGACAGCTGCCCGTTGGCGTCCCAGACCCATGGTGACAAGAGGCCCTGCTCCGATCCGATAGTGTCAACACCTGGTCTTAGAACTCTCCCTCTCAAGGCCGTTCTCGGCTGCAGGCGACGGCGGACCGTCCTGGCACGCTGCTTGCGCCAAGGTCGGGGTGTGCAACGACCACAGAGCATGTGTCCTCCATGGCCTACAGCGCACCTTACCGCGAGATGGCGTTGCGCGCGGCACATCTACCCACCTCGGGCCGCCTGCTGCGTTTTCCAATGAGCGAGTACGGTTTTTGTTTGTCACGTTTTGCCTTGGCGTACGCTCCGGAAGTGCGCGCCAAGACGACCTAGCACCTAGCGAACACGCTACGGGACGAGTTTGACCACATTATGCGAGGCACCGTTTTAAACTCGGAAACGCCATGTCGTTCGATGCCAATTTATTTCGACGTTTGATAGTGCCGTCACAGCCATGTTTGAGAATGGTTGTAAACGCTGTGTACGCATAGAAGTATTCAGGGTTGTCGATTTCTCAAAATTGTTGGGGGACAGAGTCTTTGGATGCTACCGTATAAGGAACGTTGCGTTGAACTTCTCGGATATTACCCATTTTTGTTTCTGGCATGCAATGATATATATATACATACATACACATGCACATGTTATATATTATATATATATATATATATATATATAGGTGTGTGAAGCATATATGCATAAAAGCAACGGCAAAGTCAAGGTAGCCTCAGCGCTGGCTAACGTGCGATCAGCCGCACCGAATTCGCGTCACCGGCTTCGGACAACATGCCACCTAAGCCGAGCGCGAGTGGCCTTCCGTCGTCTGGCCAAATCACACCCAGCCTCGCTTCCATTCCCACTATTAAAACCCAGACCGTCAGCTGTTAATCATGTTAATATCCATATATATATATATATATATATATATATATATATATATATATATATATATATATATATAGACGCTTCAAAGCTTGTATTTATAAATTTTGACCGGCAGTTATACGCGCTACGATGACGTTTTCGTCGGACCGCCCGGCTGCTGGACGCCATCATCTTACACTGTTTCTTGCGTCGCACCGACTTCTGCTGGATAGACTTGCGCCCAGAACACGTTGCAGACCGAACTGTAGCCTAGCGGTTTCATCATGTTCATCACGGACGGCACGGCGGTTGCGACCAGGCAGGGCAGGCGGCGCTGCAGGAAGAGCCGTGTGAGCTCGGCCATCGCCAGCCGCGCCAGGCCTCGTCGCCGGTGCGACTCCAGCGTGTGCAGGAAGCCCAGAAACGCGTTTCTGTTGAGCAGCACCCAGCAGACGAGCTCGCCGTCAGGTGATGACGCCACGTCATTGTCGACGGCGACGAACACGCCGACGCTGAGGCCCACCGTCATGCCGTCGCGCATCACACCGTCGGCATCGGGGGTAACCGCGGTGTACGGCCAGAAACGCTTGACGGTGTCCAGGTGTATGCTGTTCAGAGGCCTCACGGAGACGCCCGGCGGGCTGTGAACGAGGGTCAGGCGGGCATACAGTCTGCGGAAGCATCACCTGTCGACCGCGCGTGACATCCCCCTGACGTTAGTACATACAGTGAGCAGGGTGGTTCAGTACCCGTGGGTGAAGATTACGGCAACATTTATATGCAACTATTTCAGTTATGTTGACCCGGCACCGTATGGGGTATTTCGTCAGCTGCAACCTCCCGGGCGTAGACCTTCCCCCAGATATCTCGGAATAGCATCGACCGATTGGAAACATTCAAGTGGCAACCAGCCATTCCGGAGGAGCTTTACCCATGATCTGTAGACATAATGCGGCTGATGACATCGCAGGCAACGTAGGACCGCACAAATATTCGTACGATTTGCTACGGCCCTGTTGGTGTTTGGTCGTACTGTTGCTCCTTGTCGTATATCTTTTCACTCGACACCAATACAAAATACTCGACATTCTGGCGCTTCAGAATCTCGTCATGATATTAGCAATAGTGTAGGTGGTCTGCTCATTCCTCGTCTCTGATTCTTTGGGGGCATTAACACGCGCCTGGGTGAGGCCAGTTTGACCCGCGAACGCTTTTTTCCAAAATGACTTCCGTACGACGCGGTCAAGTGGCGCCAAAACTTGGCAAACTGGAGGCAATTTATGACAGATGTTTTTGTTCACAAGATTGAAATGTGCCCTGTAAGGTCGGTGTCCCATTGCAGGTCAAAAGCAGGCTGCTTCTATCACCGAAGTAGCATTCTGCTGTACCGTTCAACTGCACGCGAGAACAAGTTATTGGACGAGACCATACATCTCTGGAATCGTTTGTGATACACTTAGGCAAGCAAATTTAGGATTGCGACACATCACCTTGGCCTTTGGTCAGCTTTGAAGATAAGACCGAGTCGAACCCAATCTCCTTTTTACGGGAGTGCTTGCGTTATGGGGAAGTTTTTAATGATCATTTTGATTTTAATAACAGCGAACATAAGAGACTTTTCTCTGAACTTCTTACATGTCAGACTAGATCACTGGCCTAAAATGACGCAGAGCAACATGTTGTCTAGAGGAACATACCACCTATTATAATCACTGACACTCGTTGAAATTGAAAACAATACAGCAAACTCATAGGTTTTTAGCCACCACGACCCTTTAAATGTCGAGGAAGGCCAATGAATCGCAATAACCGCTAACGGCATTTAAGTCACTCGACGCAACGACATATAAGTATGTAGTGGCTGCATGAGGAGCTCTGAGGACACCTTAAAGACAATTCAAAAATTCTTTTCACCCTAAGGTCATGACCTAAGAAAATCAAATCTGGATACACATGAGTTCACATACAAGGCCACCCCACTCTGTACATTTGGTGCCCCTAGCTTGGGATCAAATTGAGCCCCTCCTTAGCAAAGATAATCATACAGTCACCCGGACGCATGTTAACACGCGCCCGGGTGCCCTGCTGGATTCCTTTCTCTCGGGTGGGGGTCAATCCCTCCCCCCCCCTTTGAGATCCCAGGAGCTAGGAGAGCTAAAGACACAAAATCCACAAGGTGTGTTGGTCTGTAGGTGGTCTTACTTAGGTCAATATCTGAGGTTGCTAGGTCATGACCTTCGGGTCAAATGTGGGAAAAGAAGGTCAAATTCTAGGCTGGTGTCCAAGTCGTCCTAGAACCTAGATACCTGTTTTTTTCCTAAAGGCCACATGCTCATGTAAGGTTACTGACCTGGTTTGATATTTCGCAGGTCATGGTGAACAAAATCATAAAAGACCGAGTTGAATTTTC